TATATATATATAGAGAGAGAGAGAAGATAGGGAGGGATAGATAGATAGATAGATAGATAGATAGATAGATAGATAGATAGATAGATAGAAATGAAAAGACAGATACAGTGATATATATATATATATATATATATATATATATAGATATATATATATAGAGAGAGAGATAGAGATAGATAGATAGATAGATAGATAGATAGATAGATAGATAGATATGAAAAGATAGATACAGTGATATATATATATATATATATAGAGAGAGAGAGAGAAGAGATAGGATAGATAGATAGATAGATAGATAGATAGATAGATGAAATGAAAAGACAGATACAGTGATATATATATATATATATATATATATATATATATATATATAGAGAGAGAGAGAGAGAGAGAGAGAGATAGATAGATAGATAGATAGATAGATAGATAGATAGATAGATAGATGATGAATAGATACAGTGATATATATATATATATAGAGAGAGAGAGAGAGAAGAGATAGGGATAGATAGATAGATAGATAGATAGATAGATAGATAGATAGATAGATAGATAGATAGATGACAATTGGAAAAAATTCTTAGTTTTTTGCCGACGGGTTTCGTCTTCTGACTTCAAGAAACGAAAAACTTTCGGAAAACGAAACGCGTCGGCAAAAAAATTGTCATCTTATACCAATTTGTCTTGTTCACAGAATTGATCTGGGAATTTAACGATAGATAGATAGATAGATAGATAGATAGATAGATAGATATGAAAAGACAGATACAGTGATATGAATATATATTTAGATAGATAGATAGATAGATAGATAGATAGATAGATCAACGACCATCGAAGCCACGAATCATGCTTATGCTCTTGGTATTAACCAGGCGGAAATAATTATTCCAGGTTATGTTAGACAGTTCGGCTTGTTTCCATGCAGTACAACGCAGACTTATGGCTAGAAGATTATGCAGCGCCAATATTGTAAATTAGAAATATATATTTAGAAAACATCTTCCGTGACTCCATTGATTCGAACAACAGCTTCTCGTTTCAGTGAGAAATACACGTCAATCTGACTATCGTTTTGCTTGTTCCTCTGGTTTGCTTTTACGGAATATCAACAACTCAATGGGTTATTTAATCCCGACAGGATTTTTACAATAGATTCGTATTAATCGAATATGTGTTCTTCGTAAGAAATCAGTTTTTAGATCACGTTTTATTAACGTAGTTTTGTAAAGAGGTTTTGTCGAGAGTCAAATGTATTGCTGGTAACTTTTTTTTTTAAACGTATTGCTGGTATTTTTAATATAAAAATCGATTATACTTTCATAGTGATTTGACCCCAGTTTGTGGATAACAATTTGCCTGTAGCTAGGGTGCTAACAGGTGCTACGGATCAGGATGGAAACAACAGCAATTAAGAGGTGGTTACTCGACCCTCAAAGCCTTTCGATCAAATGCCTTGCAACCGGATGTAGTTTTCATGTTCGTGTCTTTAACACATCATGAATTGAATCTGTTCATCCCTGTCTGGGATTTCAGTTACCCGCGGTCAACAAAAGAAATAAACAATTATTAATATTTATTTAATCATACTATAATTCGGTTGAAAAGGACTTTGACGGGGTATAATAATAAGTAGCAAGTTCGATCCTCACTGGGTGCTTGACATTTTCATCAGAAAATTAAAATACGAAAACCTTGATATTTTCTCCGTTGTTTCTAGTTCAGTCAGTTATATGCCATGCTAGATCGTATATCTTTCGATGCATGACTGACGAGGCAGATTTTTTCCCCGCAGTATGTTGCCATTTCTTTCTGCGGTAGACCTGTTGCGATCCACGACTATAGAACCGAGATACAGAGTGCACCAGGTAATTGAGAACACGTCATAATATGAAAAAAACAAACAAAGGTAATCAGTAGAAAAACCAGTCGATTTTGTTAATATATATACTATCTTATAATTCTACCTGTCTCTTGCTTAGTTAGCAAGACAGTTACGTCCTTCCAGCAGCTCATAAATAATGGACTATTCTGTTTTGATTGCGATCGAAAGACGAAAAAGACATCAGATACGCAACTTGGTTTCAGTGAAAGAAAGAAAGAAAGAAAGAAAGAAAGAAAGAAAGAAAGAAGTGTTTAAAGTCTGTTTCTGTGAAATGGAAATTGTTGTCAATTTTAAATTTAACGAAACCTACATAATAATAACAAGAAAAAAATGAAAGAAAGACTAGGAACATACAGGAGGCGATAAAGCTCTTTTTAGTGAAATGAAAAACCTTGTCAAGTTGAACTTTTTCAATTCTAAATCTTTTCATTTATACGCCCTTACTTCTTAAAATAACGATCTGCATTCGTATTCATGATTGTTGTTGAAATATTTAGTTAAAGTCGTTAAGCTCAAACATTTAACGATATAATAGTAGAACTTTCCTTTATTGAGATATGGTCTGGAGTCCTGATCTGGCACCTCGTCTATATCCACTTTCTCACAGACGTGCCGTCACTTCCCTCTTTGTCTTTTCTACAAATACTTTCACGGTAACTACTTCCATGAACTACTTTCGCTAGTTCCCAAACTGCATGAATTTAAGCGTGCTACTAGGCTGGCATCTCAGTCCCACCCTTTCACTGTCGAAACTGTTAAATGTAGTCGTCTCTTCTACTCCAATAGCTTCATGCCTCGTACTTCTCGCCTGTGGAACTCCCTTCCTCTTACTTGCTTCCCTGATAGTTACAATCTTCAATTATTCAAATGCAATGTCAATCGATATCTTCAGATGCCTTGATCTAATTTCCCGCCCTTCTCTTCATCCTTTCCTTTATCATGTTTCTTTACACTTGCTCCCATTCTCTGTAACGACTTGCGTGCTAGTGGCACTCCTGCTTTGCTCGGGGTGAAATGCTTAAAAAAACATTATTTTTTTCATTTTAACAATAATATTCTAGATTGAATGGCACTCAAGCCTTGTATTTGATTAAATTTATTTTTAAAAGAAAAAAAAACATTTCAGCATGAACCGATTTTTTTTTTAACACACGAAGCAAAATTGAAGAAAAAAAAAAGAACTTACCTCGCTGTTTTTTAAATGAAGCATATCCGTGGTGACCTTGTCGTTATGGTAAGATTTCAGTTTGTAATACTTAGCGGGACTTGAGCCCCTTCTTTCTGGCGAGCTGCGGCACACATTCTCGCTAAACAAACTGTGTCGACTGCCGCTGCGCGATCGACTTTTATTCGTTCCGTTTATGACGTCCGGCACTTTTTCAGATTTTTCGGCAGGCGTTTCGGACTGCGTGCCTTTCGTGCTAACATTGACAGTCTGACCCTGACCGTCGCCCTCAACGCCGTTTGCCTTCCCTCTCTCTACCTTGTCATTTGCAGTTGGTGCATACGAACCACTGTGCACTGTCACGTCGCCTTTGACAATTACTTGAATGTGATCCTGTTCTTGCAGAATCTCTATACTTCGACGCGTTTCGCTGTTTCGATCGGACAGCTGACCGTCGCCTTTGACGTTTTCTCCCCCACCCCCTTCTTTACCACCGCCCCCTCCTACCCCGCAAGGAATGGTGGTTAGTGTGATCTTAGGCGAGCCGTTACTGCCATCTTCCAGGATGGTTTCTTTCCCGCCGTTCTTTCCTGTCCCAACGCTCCCATTGGCCACGTTCTTTTGAGTCTGCGTACTAACGTCATTTCGATCATCGTAGACAAACGGCGGTACCCCATTTTGTATTACATCCATGATGTCGTCGCACGTTCGGGATTTGCTCTTCGTCGATAGCTTTTCTATACTCACATACTGTTCTTTCTTTGGTGATGGGCTGTTACGCTTCGAATCTCCGTGATAGAGTCGTCGCAAGCTGTTCATCGAGGACGACATGGACGGCGAGAAAGAACGCTTGAACTTGCTAAGCATCGACTCAACAGCCAATGGTTTTGTCACCCGAATCGTCCGCGGTAGGCCATTGTCAAGAAATACGGTCTCCAAATGGGTCATATACCCTTCGGGACCTTTAAGCAATAGGAAGACTGTCGAGTCGACTGGGACTGATTTTAAAATTTCAGATGCGCATTCGTATTTCATCTCGCTGACATCAATGTCGTTAATTCGAAGTATGCAATCACCGATATTAACTAAGCCAGTCTCTTTCGCCGGTCCGTTAATTAATACATCGCTGATAATCATTTGAGGCTTTGCAGTCCGCTCATTCACAACGATACCAAGTCCATGTTCTTTGGACTTGCGTAGCTTCACACAAAGTGTATTTGGCACAAACGCCATCTTTTTAAGAGTAAATATTAAAATCCAGTTTGATAAGGAATGACTGTAAATGGTTACCCAGATCTTAATGACCTTTCATATATATATATACATATGTATGTACATATACATATATATACATATATATATAAATTTATATACATATAAATATGTACGTTTTTATATATGTGTCATTTCTGACAACTTTGATTTGTTGATCATTGTTTTAATTCGAATGCTTTATTCACATGTCGATAGCAATTACAAATTTGAATAAAATCTTTACAATTCGATAATTGTTGTTAAATTGAACATGTTCAAATAAATAATGCTTCTGATTCTTGTAGGGGAGTTTTTCATATTAGATAGATAAATGCAAACCAAAATGTAATTCAAAAACAATTTTCAAACCCAAAGGAATTGGAAGATATATTAAATGAAATAAATTTATTTATTTCCTTTTCTTTTGATCGAAGTTATCTCGCTTTTTTAGCGACAAAAATATAAAATATGATGCAAGAATATTTGTAATGATTAACGCGTTGCGTAATATATCTATATTCTAGTTTCGTTTATGAGAGTTGAATGGATTTCTGATTTAACTTATGGATCATATCAGGAAGGCTAAGTTAGAACGTCACGATATTTCCAGTGGTCTATAGATAATTCACCATTTTAATGAAGAAAACATACTTTGTAGTGAAAAACTCGTTGGAAAAAAAAAAGTCTTCCAACATGCCAGTTTCTTTAGACAGTGTCCCTGCCAAAAAAGGGATTCTTACAATCAGGAATGTTTGATAGACTGTTTTAAAAAGTTAAGCGCCAAATTTAATCCCAACACTTCAGGCCGTCTGATTTAGGGAATGACAAATAACATGAAGTATTTTTCCAAGAAACAATTCTTGTTTCTTCTCTCTTCTGTTGCGTTGTTTTCTGCTACGTTTTTTGTTTCGTTTTTTCCCTTCTTTTTTAACCTTCTTGTTTCTTTCTTTTTGTTACGTTCGTTAGTTTTTGTTTTGTTTTTTCGTTACTTTCTTTTTTGATACGTTCTTTTGGTTTCGTTTTTGTTACCTCTTTTTCCCTAAACTTGTTTTTCTTTCTTTCTTTTTATTACGTTCGTTTTCTGTTTGTTTGTTTTTTTTTTACTTTCTTTTTGATACGTTTGTTTCGTTTCGTTTTTGTTATCTCTTTTTCCCTAAACTAGTTTTTCTTTCTTTCTTTTTATTACGTTCGTTTTTTGTTTGTTTTTTTACTTTCTTTTTGATACGTTCGTTTGGTTTCGTTTTTGTTGCCCCTTTTTCCCTAGCCTTGTTTTTCTTTCTTTCTTTTTTGTTATATTCGTATCGTTTCTTGTTCCGTTCTTTTTCGTTTCGTTCTTTTTCTAATCTTTTTGTTGCCTTTTTTTACGCTTTTGTGTTGCGTTCTTCTGTTGCCTTCTTTTTGTTTGACTTCTGTTAGCTAATTTTTTTTTTTTTTTTTTGCTGCGTCCTTTTTGCTATCTTCTTTTGTTGCGTTCTTGTTGTCGCACTTCCCGATGTTATCGATCTATGTAAATAATTCGCCACTTACGAGGATTTAAGACACTCCGGACGGAACTTTATAAGATACCACAGTTGTGAATTATCTGGAAAAAGAAACAAAAGAATATTATTATTCTAGAAATGTTATCGCATGCAAACAAGCAAAAAGAAATCTGGAACAAAAACATTCGTAAATCTGTTTTAATGTACGAACCAATTATTCTGAATCTGTTTTAACGAATGACCTTATTTTCTTAAATCTGATTTAACATATTACCCTATTATTGGAAATCTGTTTAAACGTATGACTCTAATTAATCTAAATCCGTACGATTTAATTTTTTAAAATGTGTTTTAACGTATGACTCCTATTATTGTAAATATTTTAACGTATACCTAATGTATGTAAATATTTGAATGTATTAATTAGTGTAAATTTGTTTTAACGTATGACCTTTTTATTCTGAATCTCTTTTAACGTATGGCACTATTAGTGTAAATGTGTTTTAATGTATGACTATTATTTTAAATCTGTTTTAACATGTGACCCTATCATTATAAATCTGTTTCAACGCATGGCCCTATTATTTTAAATACGTTTTAACGTCTGACCCTAATATTTTAAATGTGTTTTAACGTATGAACTTATTTTTGTAAATCTGTATTACCCCTATTATCATAAATTTGTTAAGCGTATAACCCCCAATTAATTTAAATCTGTTTTAACATACGACCCTATTACTGTAAATATATTTTAACTTGTGACCCTATTAGTGTAAATGTGTTTTAGCGTATGACCCTATCATTGTAAATCTGTTTGAACTTATGACCCTATTATTCTAAATGTGTTTTAACGTTTGGCCCTTGTTTTGTAAGTCTGTTTCAACGTATAAACGTATTTTTTCTGAATCATTTATGTTATGGGACCTTACCCATAATAACATAATGGACAATTCCATACGTAATAAATACTGCGCCTCAAGAGGAAGCAAGGAGTTCAGACTGAAGTCGGGCGACCGGCTGATCGGTTGAACTCTTTGCCTTCGGGCGGGGAGGAATCCGAACGAGGCTACGCCGAAGGGCAGAGTCTCTTTCGGGGAGGTAAACCGACTCTGAACCCGTTTATACGGGTTCTAAGGGCATATTTTGTCCAAGCCCATGGGCTCGGAGATCCCACGTTAAACCGGCCTTGTGCCACATGATGATCTCGTGGGGGGGTGACTAAATACCGTTCAGTCTGAAGTCTAGAGTGAGGTCCGTCAGAAGTCCGTCAGGAGTCTGTCAGTCAGTCAGTCAGACCGAGTCAGTCAGTCGAGTCAGAGGCAGTCCGAAACAGAGTCGCGTTCAGACAATTACTACTAAACCTGATTGTTCGTACTAACACTTCTACTTCTCTGTATATATTCCTGTTTATAATATATCTGTGTTATTCCATATCCGTGTTCGAATTCTTCTTTATTGGTTCTACCTTGGACTATCACCGTGGTACAAGGAACCGGACCATAACAATTTAATTCCTGAGAATTGACTATTCTTATATTTCTTAATTTTCTACGCACATCATATAATTATTTCTATCATCATTATGCTACCTATTTATTGACATCTCTCTCTCTCTCTCTTTCTCTTTCGCACACACACACACACACTTTCTTTATATATAAATATCATTAAGAGTCATAAACAGAAAGGGCTGAAGGGTGAGCCCACGTCAAATACAAAAATGTGTAATTGCCGTTAAAAACGACGATTGCCCCTTAAACGGGCAGTGATTGAAAGATAACGTTGTATACTGAGCCAAAGTTGATGTAGAGTGTCTCTCTCCGATGACTTACATTGGTTTGATCGAGGGCGCGTTAAAAAGGAAGTATAATAACTATGTAACATCATTCAGATTGAGAAAATATTGTAATAACACGTCTGTCAAATTACGTTTGAAAAGAATTCTTAATAAAATATAAAATGTTGTATAGTGAGAAAGAGTTACGTGGGAGTTGGTAACTTTTGTAAATTACGCCAGGTGAAGTCAGCAATATTGATGGCCGCATATCCGCCTCCTCTATTGAATTAGTGAGTGAAATCATGACAATATGCTTACACGATAAAAAGTATCTAATGTCTAAAATGGAAACCGGATGAGATTTGCTTCCGCCATAAAAAAAAAAGCTCTCCATATTGAAGGCTACTACCACGAACTTAGTAAGTCTAAAATTGAATCTGGACTAACGTTTCTTCAATTCGAAGTTGAAACACGACTAACTCTGGTTTTATTTCATATTCTGTATTTTTCGTACACACACAGACACTCACACACACACACACACACACACACACACACACACATATATATATATATGTGTGTGTGTGTGTGTATTTAGGCAGCATTTTTTAAAAGAATTTACATAAAATAAATAGACAACACTTGTCTATATTATTTAATGAAACATGTATGAATATATATATATATATATGTGTGTGCGTGTGTGTGTGTGCGTGTGTGCTCCCGGGACATCCAGTTGAGCTTTCTTGAGAAAAGAGCAATTTTAAAAACAGTGTCTCATACCGCTATTAACGCATTGCTCTTCAGCCGAATTGAATTGAGCTCTCCGGGCCACTGATGATATATTTATACTATATATATATATATATATATATATATATATATATATATATATATATGGGCGGGTGGACGAGTAGTTAGAATGTACACTTTGAGAATCAGGTTCTCATGAACCTCACAATTGTCAATATGATATTATCGGCCTGGGGAAGTGATCCGAACCTACGGTACAACTGGAACAAACCTGAAAACCATATCACGAACTGACCCAAGCTATGTGAATTAACTTGATCGGTTTATCCAGAAATGAACTTGGAACAATTTCTTCCGAAATGATCTTCGGACAATTTCTGACGGAAATGTCCTCCTTGTATGCGAAGGATTATTTATAATTGGGAAAAGCCTATCATTAAAATTAGTAGACACAATGTCTTTTGTCTTTAATAATATTTGGCTTAAAGAATATTTCTTGTCTAAATGCCCAGAATATATATATATATATATATATATATATATATATATATATATATATATATATATATGAAACTCTCCAGGCACTGATTGATCAGTCTATCACTATGGCTGGCGCTAAGCTGTTCAAGGGGGGAGTCATGAGGAACGAGAAAAAGCGAAACCAACAGTTGGAGATCAGAAAACAACGCATGATGCGGAAAGAGAGAAATCTAAGATTTCATTCCATATTCCAGCTTCAGAAGAGACTACCTTGCAAAGAGCGGAATGTCAATCCACTCCACTAAAAGGACGATATTTTTTAACAATCAAGGCTCTAACTTCGAATCGTGCTATAAACAGATATCTACTACTACTACTACTACTACTGCTACTGTATATGACCTTTGTAAATATTTACATAGTCACTACATATTCTACGCCCAATCGAAATTAGAGATGGAATTCCAGTTCGTTATATTCACGCTGTGGGTTTATCAATAAAGCATTGTTATTGCAAGATTTTTTTAGGAGATAATCTAAAAATATTTTATCTCTTCAAATAATCTGCAGCTTTAAAAGAATCAAATCAGTCAATCGATCAATCTACTATCGCCAAGAATTAACTCGATTTCTTGCGTCGCAAATATTTTCGTGTTATGATTTTTATTTTAATATGTTTAGCTTAATTTGGCACAAGGCCACATCTACGATTTGAAATCACTCGGTGAATGCTGAACAATCTCCATACAGATGAAGAAAAGACTTGGAGCAACGGAAATATGTTTCTATAGAAAGATGCTGAGAATACAATGGACCGAACATGTGAACATCGATGACATTCTATTGAAAATAGAAAACAAAAAGAACACTTATACTTAAAATCAAGATGAAAATTGGCGCCATTTGATGAAAGAGAGCTTCGAAAATTTGATACTCAAAGGAAGATTGATGATTGAACGCAAGAGTGACAGAGGGAAAAAAACGCATAACCAACAGGGCGAGCTTGAGTAAATGGATGGCGGATCAAAGTTTAGGAGAGATAACAAAAACAAAATTCATTAATACCTACAAATGAGAGGAAATTGTGGAGGGCAATGTTCGCCAACGACCTGACGAGTAATGGCACATAGAGGAAGAAGATTCGTTAGCCATAATGTTGTAACTTACGGAAGGTTACTGAGTAGAATAATCAAATAAAGGCTGTTAATGAACGATAATACTTAGGACACAAACAACACATATAAGATTCGCCAGCGGCGCATAGAAGTAGTCAACTGCTACAATCGAGTCAAATGAATTCCACAATGAATCTCTTACTGCAGGATATTTACCAACCGCCCCACCCGGTCATATGTGACACTAGGCCGAATTTAATATGAGGTATCCGAGCCCGTAGACTAGACCAAATATTCCCGGTAGACCCCGTATAAAACGGGATCGGGTAGTTGTTTCCCGAAACAAGGGTATGTTGAAGGGAAGAGTCTCGAAGGTAGTGAGTTTGATCAGGACAGCTGGAGACGAATCTCCAACTGCAGACCAACATACAGTATTTACTATTGTATTTATGTGAATGGGGATATGCCCATTATCGTCCGTAGGTATGCTACAACAAATAAGTAACTAAACGAACTCGTTTAGCCATTACTTTGTGTCAAGGTATGATGAATTCTTTTGTTGATACAGGACAAAATCATCATGTACACATATAAAACCACTTTAAGTATAAATTCGTACGAATTGAGCCAACACATATAATCAGATTTTCTTCGACTAATTCACAAATAATTTTGTCGTGCTGCCAGCAATTTTTTAACAATAAAACAAAGTTTGTTTTTTTTAAAAAAATGCCGTTTTTTAGATTAAAATGTCTGAATTTCTGTTTTTCTTCTTCTTTTTTTTTCTTTTTCATTTGTAAATAAA